TGGCAGGCGGCAGGTGGGAGGCAGGAGGCAGTGTGGCACGCCCATGGCAGGCGGCAGGTGGGAGGCAGGAGGCAGTGTGGCACGCCCATGGCAGGTGGGAGGTGGTGCAGCCACAGCTAGGAAGCTCGCTCCATGTCTGCGTGCTGCTCACCTAGGCCTCCCACGACATGCATCCCCAGGACCTCCAGCCTGATGGCCTCAGTTGGAAGGCGCCCTGAGTGCAGAGTGCCGAGGTCACCCAGCACTTTGGGAACAGAGCTGACAGCAGAGGTCAAGCCCCAAAACCCTCCTGCACAACTGCAAGGGCAGTCTGAATCAGCACACTGTGGAGGTTCTCACATCTTTGCTGGGAAGGACACTACTATCGGTCGTCTGCCTAGACCTGGAAGATGCCCGCACACACCTCCAACAGGGCCAAACACCCATTCTGCCTGCTGGGTTTAAGTACAATCAATAAAGTTTCTGAGTGTGTATCATCTGGATATCAACCACACCAGTCTACAATGCTGTATGTGTCAGCTAACATGACCTTCCAACACAATTCTCTATCCACACAAATGGATATCTTTGAATCAGATGCAAGAGTTGACGCAGGTTCACTAAGACAATTCATTAGCATCTAGAACACATACATATATATGTACACATATATCATTACTAATAAACATGGCTTATCTAAGTAGATAAGCCATGCATACATATTACATGTTGTTTTGTTGACTTATTAGTAACCATATGAACAAAAGATCTGAACCCAGTCCTGTCCTGCACCATCCTCACACTTCCTGAAACACAAGAGCCCATTGCAGCAGTCGCCATGTCAATCCACCTGGTTGAGGGTCCTCCTCTCCTTTTCCGACCATCTACCCTCCCCAACATTATGTCCCTCTCCAAGGAACAGCCCCTCCTAGCAACATGTCCCATGTGTGAGGCAAAGCCTCATCATCCTTGCCTCCAAAGAGCACTCTGGCTGCACCCTCTCCAAGACATGTCTATTTGTTCTCTTGGCCGTCCATGGGATGTTCAGTGCTCTTCTCCAACATCACAACTCAAAGGTATTAACTCTTTTTCTGTCATCCTTATCGTCCTTTTTATCCTTATTGTCATCTGTCATCATCCAGGTCTTGGATGCATAGCTAGTAATCAGAAAAACCATGGGCTCGATCAGATGCACCCTAGTCCTCAAACTGACATCATTACTCCTCAATAATTTGGAAAGGTCCCTAACTACAGATTTTCCCAGTGCAATGCGTCTCCTTATTTCCTGAATGCTCGTACCAAAGGTGTTAATTGTGGATCCAAGCAAGATGAAGCTGTTGACAGTTTAAATCTCCTCTCCATCCATCAAGACACTGCCTATTGGTCCAGTGATAAGAATCTTTGTTTTCCTGATATTGAGATGCAATCCATACTGAAGGCTGCATTCTTTGATTTTCTGCAACAAGTGCTTCAAGCCCTTCTCACTTTCAGCAAGCAAGGCTGTATCATCTGCACAATGCAGGTTATTGATGGGTCTCCCGCCAATCCTGACACCACAATCCTCTTCATAGATTACAGCTTTTCCGATACTTTGCTCAGCATGTAGATTGAACAGGTATAGAGAGAGAATACATCCCTGACACACTCCCTTCCCAATTCCAAACCATGCAGTGCTCCCCTGCTCCATTCGCACAACAGCCTCCTGCTCCAGGTATAAGTTCCACATGAGCACAATCAAGTGCTCTGCGATTCCCATTCTCCTCAATGTCAGCCACAACTTGTCATGATCCACACAGTCAAACACCTTTGTGCAGTCAATAAAGCACAGACATTCTTCTGGTATTCCTTACTTTCAGCCAGGATCCATCTGACATCAGCAATGATATCCCTGGTGCCACACCCTCTTCTAAATCCTGCTTGAACTTCTGGCAATTCCTATGTATGTACTATTCTAGCCTTTGGTGTGGGGTTTTTTTTGTTTTGTTTTAATTTTTTATTTATTATTGATTAACTGATTGTTATGTACCATCTAATCAGATCTGACTTGCACAGGAGGAGATTGCCCCTCCTGCTCCAGCAGAGCATCTGGTGGATTTGAACTGCACGCCTTCAGGATTACAGTGCAGCTTCTTTTCCACTAGGCCACCAGAGCTCCCTTGTTCCAGCCAGTTTTTAATGATCTTCAGCAGTATTTTGCTTGCATGTGATATCAATGATGTTGTTCAATAATTTCCACATTCAATTGGATCAACTTTCTTGGGAATAGGAACAAATACGGATCCTTCCAATCCAAAAGCCAGACAGCCATCCTCTAAATTTCCTGGCATAGACTGGTGAGTGCATCCAAGGTTGCATTTGTTAATTGAAACAAGTCAATCGATTCCTGGGGCCTTATTTTTTTTTTTTTTTT